ATGCCTACAGTATCCCTGCACCTCCCCCCCTGGCCCCCCAACTCCAGCTCCCCTCCTGCTCCTGTTTGAACTCAGACTGAGTATTAAAGCCACCACTACTATCCCCTACCCCCACGCTGGCTGCCTGCCTTACTGTGACTGATAACAGCCAGCTGCGGCTGAGAGCGCCCCCCTCTGAAAGAGACCTCTGTGCAGTATTCCATCATGTGTTGCTCTGATACTCTGACCAGTGTTAGTCAGTATTAGGAATTCTCCTGTATCATCTAATCATGTCATGTCCTCTAATCTCTGATCATACTGATGAATTCTGTTCTCCGCTCGCCAATGGGCCCCATCATCTCTGGCCCTTCCAGCTCTAACCGAGGCTTCCACTCAGGGCTCAGCAGGAACCCCCTCTCTGTGATTTGAGGCCGATCAGAACCGCCAGGACACCGGGTCCGGACGCGAGGAGACTTCCTGTGCTTGGAAAGCAGAAGTCTGGCCTCGTTCAGGCCCCGGGCTGATGAAGGGTTTTAGTGTTTAATGTGCAAGAAGATTTTTTTCAGGTTCCTAAGAGTTTTTCAGAGCAGCTCTTCCTCAGATCAACGATGCCAAACCGTTCCCTCCTCTATCAGACCTATACTTTTTTTGAACCACTTAAAGTGATGACAGTAAAAAGCTGCCGTGGCCCACTTTGTGTTTACTGCCTGAGATGTTCTGAATGGTACCGGTACCTGACCCACCTGGCCCTTCCTCACCCTGTTTTCCAAACAAAAGGGAGTACTGCTACCTGTGTGCTACTCTGCGGCTCCCCCTGCTGGCCGCTTCTATTGTATAAAATGTATGCTGATCTGAAGTGGAGGTCAGAGGTGAAGTGCCTCCAATGATCTGCTGTTTTCTGAATGGATCAGAACCTTCCAACATGAAGGTTCTGATCCATTAGTTCAGTCTGAACGGTCCGACTGATCTCTGTAAATCTCTGACCTGTTTTGTTGATTCTAGCTTTAGAGAGAAGACGTCACATTTTGCGACAGAGAGCCCTCACTGTCACTCTTGGTTCACGACAAAGGGAGAGGAACTGGAGTTGATATTTTAAAGTGTCTTCAGCATCTTTTGGTAGCGATAAGTTCGGTTTCCATCACTTAGCTCTGTCTGGAAAACGTTAGTGAGCTTCATTCAGCCTTCCTGTTATCTACTCAGTTCACCTTGAACTGCAGACATGGAGAAAATCCAGCTTCATGTGTCTTCCTCTGATTGATACGAAGACGGCTAACGAGGAGTCCCATTAGCTGAGTTATGGTTGGACAGAAGGACGAGACGAACTACGGGACGACTTGAAGGAAGAGTTTTGCAGATCTTTAGATGGAGCAGGCTGGCTAACGGCTGAGATGTGTTTATGTTGCGGTGCCAGACAAGAAAGTTCTGTCTGTGTGTGTGTGTGTGTGTGTGTGTGTACAGATGAAGCAACACTCTGTTTACACACACAGAAGACACTCTGTGTTCCGCCTGCTGCTGCTCCGTCCAGAGGAGTGTCCTCTGTCTGGACTGCTGTGTCGCCATCCCATCGGATTGGCACCGACAGTGAGTTTTAGTAGAAGGAAGGCTGCTGTTCCGCCTGCCATGTGTGACTACTGGAGTCTAAGCGGAGATGAGTTGGTTCCAGCAGATGGCGCTAACGGCTAGCCTGAGATGGATCAAGGCAAGAGGCGACACCTGCTGACCCGCAACAACTTTAACCTCTGGGTGGTTTAAGCCAAGGTGTCACTTTTTCACTGGGAAGTTATTTATGTAGCAACTGGAAGCCATTCACACAGGAAGTGGAGGTCAGAGGTGAAGTGCCTCCAATGGCCTTCATGTATAAAACAATGTTCACTTCAACTGGTGTAATATTTTTTGCTTGTTTTACAGTGTTTTTACTTTTATATCACAGTTACTCTGAAAATAAACACTTTGCATGTCCCATTCTTAGTGAGTGTTTCACACAGGAAGATCATAGGTGACGCACTGCCTCCAACCCCTATTTCCTGTTTAAATGTTTCTCAGGTTGTGTAAAAGGTTTAAAGAATGATAAAAGGCTGGTTATATAAGCCGCTTTGGCTGTTTTCCGATTGGCCTTTGTTTAACTAGAATCAACTAACGTAGAGCTCTGAAGACTCGGTGATTGATGTACCTCAGCTGTTCCTTTAACAGAAGCTCACCTTGGAAATCCTGAACTGTCCCTTTAAATAAGGTAGCAGATGCTGATTCTTTTTTTTACGTGTGGTTTGCACTAAGACAGATGTGGGAGAGGAACATCTGGTGCTGATGTTTGGACTTCTCTACGCTGAGTGTGAGGAAGGCAGATTGAGCACTTGCTGATTTTGATTTGTTTCCTGCTGTTCTGAACGAGCGGCCCGCATAATTAGGTGTTTTTGTCATTTATTAACCTCAGGATATTTCTAACACTTTGTACCATCAGGGGGCTGCCTCTGCAGACTGTGGGTTGTAAACGTTCTGTGTTGTGTTGGTACCGCAGATGTAAATCTGCTGGAGCAGCTCCATGGAGGTCCCACTCTGACCTTTTTTTTTGACAGAGGTAAACGCCTGATTGGCTTGTTACTCTGCTGAACGCCTTCTGAAGTTTTTATTGGGTTCAAATAACTTTTTTTTTTTTTTTAAGCTGGCATGTGAAATTGGACCAATGGCATTTTCTTATGGATACTCTTACATTTGAAGTATTTTTTTTTGGACTAAACTTTATGCCTACTTTTACATGTCATGCCCACACTCCTGAAACATGTCTCCATGGCAACTCCATGGCAAACATTATGATTCTGATTAACTTTTTCTAACAACACTGAAGCCTTATATGATGCAATCTCACACTCTTAAGGGTTACTGTTCTTCCAAACCTCCAGATGTTGCACAATATGTCTTACTGTCTCTGGTTGCCTTCTACCGTTTTCCTGTTGCTGGTGCTGAAAGTTGCCTCCTCTGGTTGGTGAACCTGACTCTTCAGACCCATAACTACAGTTTGAGGTGCAGATTTTGAAGTTTCTCTGCAGTTACAGAAACGAAACACATGTCTGATTACCCTATGAAGGAAGTCAGCTTTTGTAAGGTCTGATGCAGCACTACTCTATAGGAATGAGAGTTTTTATGCCACCATCTTGTTTAAACTATGTTAGCAACAGTTTATTAGCCTCTTTGTCGACACACAGAATGCCATGTCTTTGTGTAATGTTGTTGCCACTAAATATTGCATTTGTGCTCCCAGATTGGGTTTGTTCTGATAAAACAGCTCTGGCTGTAATGTCTAACTTATAATGTCTTAACCGCCGACACTCCTCAATAAATCAGCTGATTTTTAACGGCTACTGTCACTGTTGTTTGGCGTTACTGCAGACTGAATGTGAAGGTAAGACCTGTAGGGTCAACATACACTGTAATTCATACACACTTGATGTATTACAAATACAAACTTCCATACAGTGGAGGAAACGGATATTTGATACAATACAGATTTCCCCCAACTCTTAACCTGTATATACACTGTGGCAGCATAACCATAACCCTAGGGTTTTATTCATTTATATATATATATACATATATATGTATATATATATATACACACACACAGAATGTTAGTCCATCCATTGTTTTCCGCCGGCGTCAGGTCGCGGGGGTAGCAGCTTCAGAAGGGAGGCCCTGACTTCCCTCTCCTCAGCCATTTGTTCCAGTTCTTCAGGGGGAATCCCAAAGCGTTCCCAGGCCAGCTGAGAAACATAGTCCCTCCTGTGTGTCCTGGGTCTTCCCCAGGGCCTCCTCCTGGTGGGACGAGCCCAGAACACCTCACCGGGGAGGCGTCCTAACCAGAAATGAGATGCCCGAGCCACCTCAACTGGCTCCTCTCGACGTGAAGGAGCAGCGGCTCTACTCTGAGTCCCTCTCGGATGACCGAGCTTCTTCCTATCTCCAAGGGAGAGCCCAGCCACCCTACGGAGAAAACCCATTTCAGCCGCTTGTATCCGTGATCTCGTTCTTTTGGTCATGACCCAAAGCTCATGACCATAGATGAGGATAGGAATGTAGATCAACCGATAAATCGTGAGCTTTGGTTTTTAGAATGCAAGTATGTGACATATTTAGACTTTCTAATCGGCCATAAATGTGCAGAGAAAATGCGCACAGTGAGGAAGAAAGTACCGTGGCTCACTGATAGGGGGCAGGCTGAGCCCTAAAAGTGCTCTTCCTCTGAAAAGACTGAAAACAGATGAAAAAATAGAGTAAATAAAATTGGAATAGAACCGTTCAAGGTCACTCTCATGTTTGGCTGCCAGCTTTAATAATTAAGGGAGAATTAGAGAATTTTTTTGTGAGTGACATATTTGTGGCGAAGGATAGCTGCATGGACTATTAAAATTAAGATAAAGTCACATGATTTTCAATTGAAATAAGTACCCTAGCCAAAGAACTTTCAAAATAAAACAAACAAAAAAATCAAACATGACCTAATATTTAGTATCAGCTTAATTTTCTTTATATCTTTGTTAAATTCAAAGCAGTGCGACAGACAGGCGACCTGTGTAGGGTGACCCCTCCTCTCGCCTGGAACGATGGCTGGAGAGGCACCAGCACCTCCTGACCCCAACAGGGACAAAGGTGTAAGAAAATGGATGGAAGGAAATTCAAAGCATTTGATTGAAGCATAATTAAGTTGATTTCTTTTCCAGATTATCTATCTCTACTGTTATAGTGACAGTTTCAGCAAAAGTATAAAAAAAGATTTTAATAAATGTTCCATACTGCAGCTTTAATTCTGTTGAATTGGAGGATTTGGTTCTAGAGTCCTTCATGTCTCCTATGGATCCACCAGGATTCTGTTGTGGTTCTGTGGGTCGTTCTGCTGCTCTGATCTCATTGGCTCAGACTGTGTTGACGGATCAGTGTTGCTGTCCGTGGTGCTGAAGGCTCACCTTACACCAGAGCGTCACAGAGCATCAACCAATAACTGAAATATCATTTCCAGACACCACAAATTACGGTTTATATTTATTTTTTTTAAAAAAGAGTGGAAGTGGTTCAGTACTTCACAGGAAGTAAACTGACCGGCACCTAATTAAAAAATTGACAAAACAATTTTTTAAAAAAGCTATTAAATAAAACCTCACACATTCTAAACAGTAATGACTGAGCTAATGCTGAAGTGGAGTGTTTCTGAGGCTGAGACTCAGAGCTGCTCCACATCCAGCTGGATCCACCGGATCAGGATCCACATGGTGAAATGTGTGTCGTCACAGACACACACCAATACGTCTGATGGCTGGAGCTCTACAGAACAGTTGTGGTTAGGATTCATGATCTCCTCTGAAGGCTCACTCTCTGCTGTCGTACTGCTCTTGTTACAGTCATGAGAAATATTAGAAGGATGTGCGTTGGACGCGAGAACGGCTGCAGAGTCAGTAGAATCAGTTCCATCTGGACTCCTTCAGCAGAAAGTGCCTCTAACAGATGTCGTCCTGCTGGAATATTTAGGATTGCATTTCATTTACTTATCAAATGAATAAAATGTACACCCCCAACCAGCAGAACCAGAACCAGTGTTCCTATGACCACGGCCTCCAGTTCCCCTCAGTACTGGTTACTGCTGGGAGCAAAGAGTATCTTTGGTGCTGTATGACCCACGGCCTGGAAACATCTGGAGGAACATCTGGTGAGGGAGGGGCTTGTTACACCTGAGATTAGACCAGCAGCAGCTCCCGTCTGGATCCTGTTTGTTGGTTCCTACCAGATGTTCTCCAGCTGTGGTCGGCCTCAGACGACCTCAGCCTGATCGACCGGACTGGTCTCCACCAAGTCCACCTCTACCAAGTCCACCTCCAGAAAGTCTAGAGGTTTATTGTCCTGAGAGACCTGCTCTTCTTCTTTGTTCTCTCTCCCACTTGTTCTGTGGCACAGTCCGGACTTGGCCACGCCCACCAGAGCCAGGCAGACGGCGCTGAGCCCCATTCCTGCTGCACATGAGTAAAATGCTGCTCCGTAGTTCTTGGTCACGTCCACCAGCACACCTGGAGGGCAAAGTGGAGTCAGATGTTATAGTGCGTTCACACCAAATGCGTTACATGCGTCAAAAATGCGTCCGACGCTTCAAGTTCGACGTGTGTGCACTTTGAATGCAGACGCTTGATGGTGCTAGTGGGAATGGTCAAACTTCAGCTGGGTTGCAGTGATTTGTCAGAAAAGAAGGAAATATAGTCAACACTAAAGTGATTGGGAAAAGTTGTGATGACTGTTGAATTTTCTAAGTGTGAGTGAATTAGCATTACTGGTTTCTACTGGAGGGACTGGTTAACGGTGGACGCACTGGCCTTACCTCCCAGCGGTGGTCCAGCCAGGCCGGCGAAGCTCTGGATGAAGACGTAGACCCCAACACAGGCTGGCATCCGGCTGATGCCCACCACCTCATCCTCGGCCAGCAGTGGGATGTGGGTGGAGCCCACGGTGCCCATGAAGAAGCCGTAGAGCGCGCAGCACACCGCCAGGCCCCAGAACTCCCACACCACGGCGAAGGCCAGCAGAACCATCGCCATGACGACCACACAGCCCAGCAGGACCCGGGTCTTCCTGCAGCTAACCCTGTTCATCACCACCCCGATGGAGAAGCGCCCCACGATTTCAGCCACGGCCATCACAGACAGCATGTTGGGGGCCACACTGGGGGCCACACCCCGGCTCTTGCTCAGCTCGATGATGTAGAGCTGCGGGGCAAAGAAGCCCAGCGTGGCCAGCAGGCCGAACAGACAGTACCACAGGAAGGCCGCGTCCTTCAGCATGGAGAAGTCCAGCAGACTGGGGGGGGTTCCAGCCCCGGCCCCGGCCCTTTCCTCCAGGTCCTTCTGGACCAGGCTGGGTGACAGTGATGCCTCCTCAGCGTTGTCCCTCAGATCCTGATCGGAGGAGGACAGGGACGTCACGCCCGAGTCCCCGGAGCCACTGGACACGGCTGAGCTCAGCGAGGTCCGGGTCTGTTCGTTCTCCAGCTCATAGGCGCTCTGCTGCTTCAGAGAGGCCGACTCAGAGTCTGAGTCCGACATCGAGTCCGAGTCTCTGACCTCCCTCACCAGCTCTGGCTCGATGCTGATTGGACGCAGGAGGATGCCGAAGACGACTACAGACGCCTGCATGGCACCGAGGACCACAAGGCAGCAGCGCCACCCGATGGCCTGCTTCAGTCTGCTGAACGCTGTGGAGACATGGTGATGTCATTAATAAGAGCTGAGGTTTAGCTGAAGTAAAAAAATTGGATCGGTGCATCCATAGCGCCAACGAGGCAGAAAGAGTAAAAACTCACCGGGTGCAAAAGCAAATATGGCAAAGGATTCTCCAGAGGAAGCGATGGCCGTGACGAGGGCTCGCCGCCTGGAGAAGTACTGGGCTAGGATGGTGACCGTGGGGAGGAAGGAGAGGCAGAAGCCAAACCCTGAAGAGAGCAGAAAAGAAACAGGGGACATGACAGCCACTGGCCGGCATGGGAGGAACACTGCATGGCTAGGGGGGGTGGGTCAAAGGGTCAAGCTGGCAGGTCACTCCTTTATCAGAGCTGGCAGGCTGCTTGAGGTGAGACAGGTTTGCTACAGCCACTGCTAGAAGACAAAATGCATGTAAAGACAAAAAAAGAGACAAGGGGAGAGAAGAAGGAGTGGGGACGTTAGCTACATTCCTCTGCACACGACGACATGGAAAACATGGAGGGAGAGCTAGCAGTGAGGATCACAGGCCCTGTGGTCCAAATATCACAGAGGTTCCACTTTTAGTTCTTTCTCTTCAGGCATCTCTGTGGGCCACCCTAGAAATCTACGGTGGGTAGAGAGGCTTCACTGCATCGTGTTTCAGAGGTTCTGAACCTCTGGGTCACCAGAAGGTTCTGGAAGGAACAGACGGGTCCAGTGGAGGTGAAGAAAAAAAAAACATTCTATACAGAATTGCAATTCCTAGTCCTGGCAATTCTGAATCAATTCAAAATGCTCAAAAATGGATTTTATGATGTGTTCAACTTGTACACATTTGCTGCTTCTATTTATACCTGTCATGCATGTCGTACTGCACATCCACTGGGCCACCGCGGGTGTTTAGAATAATTCTTTGATGCTTTCTATTTAAGAAAAGGCCAGGCAGCTAAACTAAAAGTTGCAGAATTTGATGCACAAACCTGTTTTTGTTTAAACTGAAGAAATGTAGTTTTTTTTTTTATAGAATAGTTTTGAATAAATGTTTTCACATAATTTAAACAGAATCTCTAAACTGTTTGGTTTCTGTACGGAAAATAATTTCTGAATGGAATCAAATCACTAGACACCGAAAGATTCACAACACTGCTAGAAGTCCCTTTAAACAAATGATAGATAGACAGATAGACAGATTGATTGATTGATTACCTGAGATGATGCCGATAGTGACGTACATCTGGTAGATGCTGCTGGTGAAGGCGGAGCAGATCATCCCCAGACTCATGAGGAAGCCTCCCATCATGACCACCAGACGGTAGCCGAAGCGGTTGCTGAGCAACGAAGCCACAGGGGCTGAGGGTGGGGTTGAAACACAGTAAAGTGATTATTTGTAGCAAAGCATGCATCTGCAGCTAAAAATACACTTATAATGTGTATATAATGTGAAAAGCTCAGGCCCTTCTGATTGGCTAAAATCAATACAGTGTATGTTTGGATTGATCTCTAAAAGAGATTTATTTTACAGAATGTGAACCAGGTGAAGCTAGAACTGTTCTTGGTAGAACAAATTTACAGACAAAGGTTTGTTTTTTATCTTTAATGCAAAATGTATACATTTCTGTAAAGTTTTAACTTAATTACTACTCTATGTTGTTCTTTCAGCAAATGGACCTTTTAGAGTCTGTATACTCCAGATAATGATTAATCAATTACTAAATTAGTAATTGATTAAATAATCCATTGATTATTTTAATCCATTGATTGAAACATTTAATCCGATTAATCGTTTCAGTCCTGATCCAGATTCTCTGACCCGTTCTTGTCTCTCTGTACTTCCACCTGCAACCTTGGGCCCTAAAACAGAAACACCAGCAGGCTACAGGAAGTTCAGAATCACCATGGAGACCAACCTGTGAAGGCGAAGATGAACGCGGAGATGGAGATGACCCAGGAGACACGGCTGTTGCTCTCCTGGAACTCCTCCATGAGATCCTGGAGGAACACTCCGAGGGTCTTGAGGACACCATACGTGTTGACCTCCACTATGAAGAAGGTCATGGCCACAGCCCAGCCCCAGCCTCCGTCCGGCACCGCCGGGTAGACATTTGGGCCCAAGCAACCAGGTACTCTGGGAGTCTTCATGGCTACAAGAGAGAAACACACACAACAAAATCGCTGAGCTGGGTTCTGTGGGATGGAGCAGTGTTTGTCTTCTACAAACTGTTCCTGTTCATTTTTCTATCAGTTTTCAGTGTCAAGAAAGTCAGCAGATTGCATCGAGTCGATGCCTTGCAGCCTTCTCTCCTCCTGCATGAGCATGTAGCAACAGTGGAGGGGAAAAACGTCCCTTTAACAGGAAGTAACTTCCAGCAGAACCAGAGCCTGGCCATCTGCCACCACTTATTACTGACCACCAGGCTTTAGGCTGCCCCTTCTGATCAACCATCAACTGAAATCAGGTGAGCTGACACGGGGAACCCTCTAAAACATGTGAGCCAAGAGGACCAACGATGGGAAACACTGAGATAACAGATAAAACATTCTGGGGAAAAAAAGGAGGATTTTCTGAATTGAGCCCCACAGCCCCCCCTGGAGGTTGACCTGGTTCTATTTCTTCTATTTTGATTTGGAATATAATTCACCAGAACAAATGAAACTCGTTTTTAAATCATCTGAAATTCTCAAAAGTTAAAAAAATGACTTTTCTAAAATCAGGCAGATAGGATGCAACTCTGCCCTCTTATTAAATACGTGAATGTCTTTTTTTGTAAACTGTTTAATGGTTATTAATGTACACAAGCAGGTGGCCATGTTGTGAACATTATCATACGATTTACCTTTTCACTTCCAACATATCAAATCATTTTCTATTTAATCTATTCCTATACATTACTCATATATCTTTAGAAAACATTTTGTCATTTTAATCTTAAATGGAGTGTTTTTACAGCGCCACCGCGTGGTATTTGGTTTAAATGCTTTTTCTTCCATTTACAAGCATTTAGTGGCTTTTGTCTGTGTGTGTGTGTAGTGAAAAGGACCGGTGATGTCTATGGTCCGCAGTGCAGAGGTGGAAGACGGAGTGATGTCAGGGGTTTCTCAGTCGCTGATGCAGGAGGCTCTGACGGCTACAAACTTATACTGTCTCTCTCCGCAGAACAGGAAGAGGTCAGCAACACATTGAGTTCAGCCGCTGTTACATGAGTTTTAACTGACTTACAAACGTCTTATTGAAAATAAATGAAAGAAAACGGGACGTTAGTGTATAAGATAATAAATGTTAGATTTAATAAGTAATGAGAAAGTTGTTGGGTTTTTTTTTTCCCGCTTGCATTTTGTAATAAAGCGAAAAGGTGGCAGCCGCTGCCCTGTTGGCGGAAGTTAGCCAGCATCCAGCAGTTCGCATGTGGACTTACCGGCAGAGCTGACCGCAGGACAGGCAGCCTTCTGGGTCCTATGGACTTTTTGCTTCTCTTATCCGTTCGTCATTTTGGTATCATTAAGGTTTCTGTAGATGGGTATTGTTCTTGCAATTAAAACAATTACGCTTTTAAAAAAATATTAGCACATCTAAAACTATTTCCATATATTTTTTGTTAAATATATCTGCTACTTCCTCCGTTCCTAACGTTGTTCCGCCAGCCGCAGCAGCAGCATCCTTTGTCTTCAGAGTTATATCCTGTCTGTCTTGGCAGCTCTTTACCGGCTCAAGCCGGTATTCAAACGCGAGCACGCGGGTCGCCGGCGCCATGAACGCGCCGCTATTCTATCACTGCATCTGCCTCGCTCACACGCGCGTTCATCTTCAATTTGCCGCCAGCCGTCGCTCATGTTGCGTTCACGTTAACATGAAAATATAATACCTCACTCTACAAGAAGACCGACTAAATGGGGCATTTATCAAACACGAAGGGGGAAATTGATTCTATATGGAATTCTATTCTATATGAAATGGATTGTTTGCGTCCAAGCGAAGAACCAACTCGGGATTTTGTTTTATAATGTAGAAGAATGTAATTTGTGAGATTTCGCTATTGAACTTGAATGCAGCAGCTCCAGGTGGCGCGCGCGACAAAGCCCTCGCAAATACTGGTAGCGCGGCAGGGATGAACAGGTTTATTCCAGTCTAGAGGTGGTTTGACAGCTTCCTTTTCAGCCTGCTGCGTCTGTCTGGGTTCTGTTTAATATGATTCTGATATCACAAGTTTATTAAATGAACATTCCAATGCAGCTGTAGAAAACCAAAAATATTTGATTTAGTTTGGTTTAGTACATCAACTTCAGAACAGCAGAATGAAGTCGCATAGATCTAAAATGACTTGGATTTTATTTCTGTAATCAGTGCTTTTGTAAATATTAAGAACTTAATTCAGCCTATTGAATAAATCTAAATGCATCAATATTTTTTGCTGATGCTTTTAGAGAATACTTCCTCTCCGGTTTACTAGTTTAAAGCAAAGCCTGAAAGGTGTAAACCTCCCAGATATAATTCCACTAAAAGTCATTCTGCAGGTCACTGGTGGCATCATCTTTTAAAATATTAATAATGTTCTTACATAAGCTGAGTTTGTCCTAAAAATGAGTGCAAAGACTATGTAGGTCCCCAACCTTTAAATAAATACAAAGAAACACTCTCTCAAGTTTCTTTATGAGCAATTCTAACTTTGCAAATTTTAATGCTGATGATGAACATTTGTACTAAGTTAGCCGGTATTAACACATGTCTGATGCAAATGACTTACCTTTTTTTGTCAGGTCACTCAGTGCTGGGGCATGTTCAGAAGTTCACCAGCCTGATATACTGGTCTGAAAGAAGCAGGGGTGTGTCTAAGATAAGGCTGAACCAGGTCCTGCCCCAAATCGTGATAGGGCACAGCAGCACATCTTTATTAATGTGAAAAAAATAATTAAGATGTTGCAGGTGGCTTATAATGCTCACCAACAAAAAATAATACATTTTAAAACCAAAACCATGGAGCTTTGTGTACGTTTGTGACAAAAGCAACTATATAAAACATGTCTCATATGGTCTGAAGTGCTCCATGAAATATTCAAGGGCTGATGGATGGATGAACGGACCGACAGATCAATGTCTGTGTTCTGTGTAGCCAACGATGCCACTATAGTTTAAACACGTTCAAAGTCCAGGAGGCTACAGTGTCTGATTAAAAGACTTATGTAATCCAGCACTGACTGGCTCTTGAAAGATGCAAAAACAGAAGACGCTACAGTTAATCTCCTTATCAAACCTGCTTTTTTCAAAATCAACATTTGATTTTAGTCTCACTTCTACACCAGAGGTAATCCCGATTCCCCAAAGATGTTTCATTTCATTTTGTGCTGCATGTTACACGTTTCTTCAGTCAAGCTGTGTGTGAAAATCCGGCACGGATTGTATTGTATCAAAATTTACCCCAGAGGTGGCTTTCAGGGCGCCCACCTCCAAAGAATGAGGAGAGCTCCTCCATGTGCAGCAGAAACTCGGGTTTCTTCTCACTCTTCCTTTGCTGCAAAGATCTTTGTTTCTTAGACTCTAAAAATGTTAGGTGGTTTTAGAATAGAAACCAAACAGCCTGTCTGTATTGTCCTGCTAAGAGGAAATTCAAGTGTAAGAGCAACAACAGATAATCAGGTTCACACAAAAAGTTCCTGAAATGTTGCAAAACAATATAGAAAGAAATAAGATTAATAATAATGTCCAAGACTATAACAGAAACTATTGTGCAGTTATTAGAAATGGACGTATAGGACTCATGATCCAAGAGATTTGCAAATGGGTTGGATCACTTTTTCAAAAATGTACATAGTGTGGATGTGTATTAAACAATGAAAAAGACAGAGTATTTACAATGCAGCATATTGGTGCAGAAGAACAGACGTTATTTTAAAAAAATGAATAAAAAACAGAGCTGTTTTTCATTCTATCCCAGCATGCTGTCCATCTAGCTGGATTCAGGATTCAGCCAACAACAATGGCGTCCTCAACCACGAATTTGTGTGAAATAGAGCAACTTCATTATTGACTTTGACTTTGTAGGCTGTGGTTTAATAGTTGCTCAAGCATTGCAGGATGTGTCAGGACCTCATAGCTTTTAGTTAAAGCAGAAAACCAGAAATGAGAACATATCAGCCATAAAAGCAGTGGCTCCACTGCTGATGGTGGATAACATGATTCAGCAGGTAGAAACATCTTACCAATCAAAGTGCCAAGTCTAGCCTGACTGGGAAAGTTCTGCGTGGAACTAGAATAGTTTATAAAGTGCCCGTAAGGAAAATGTCTGTAATTAGGCGAGACGTCAGCCACACCCTGAACTCTGGAGAACACGACGCAGACAGAAACCAGAACCAGTCTGCAACGTGTTTGTGGCCCATGGAAAATGGCAACAGGTAGTGGATTCTGATTGGACTCCACTGAGGTCTTTGTGTTGTGTTTAACATGACCAGGTACCGTTTTTCCAAACGAGTAATAGTTGATCTTGGTTGAGCACATATCATGCTAGAAAGTACAAATTAAAGAATCGGTGCCACTGCAATCAAAAGTCTGCACAATACTTTGCCCCACTGCAGATAACAGGGACTGGGCAAAGTTAATTAGTTTGAACACGTCACAAATGTCCAACCTCTGCCTGTACACCAGGGAAAAACAGCTTTTTTTTTTAGTTTATTTTAAAAAACGGGACATCTTTAAAAGTACAAATGTGCCCGTGAAAAGCATTCACCCACTTTTTGATATTTTCCCATTTTGTTACATTTAGAAATCAATCATGATCAACAAAAATTGGCTTTTTTTAACAACAAAAAAAACTTTTAATGTCAAAGTGAGCAATGTAAACATCCAGTCACTGTATGTTTACATTATACAGTAAACATAAAGTTTACTCTATGAGGGACAGTTCTTACCAGAAGGGGTGACAGATCTGTCCCTCTTTCTGGTAAGATATTGACTGTTTTTAGGTAATCCATAAAAGCCCGTTTAAAAGAAAAAAGTTGGAAAAGAGACGAGGTTCTTTGAAAAAGTCACAATTATCCACAAGCTGATGAATTCAGTTTTATAAACACAAAACAGGACAACTAGTTTGCTTTGCATAGTTTCAGTCATCTATTAGTTTATTATTTAGTTTCTTCCTCTTTTTTGTTTTTTGGTCTTGTGCAATTAGTAAAATACATTTTACTTTTACAAAAAAATATGAGGCACAACGAAACATACAGTACTTATCCGCCGGCTGAAGGTCCTCCAGCAGGCATACACAGAAACACTGAATGCATTCGATGAGACGGAACACTATTTACAATACAAACCTGATATGTAAACTGAAATGATAAGGCAAAACTAATTCCGCTACAATAATGCATGTCAACTGTATATTTGACAAGTAACAATAAAATCAAAGTTGTGGTTATATTTCCTATCAAGCATGCATCTCATGTTTCCAGCAAAGTCAGACTTGTTGGGCATTCAGCGTTCCAAACTCTATCCACGCCTTTTGTTTTCAACTGGTATTCCAGAGTAAACACTTTCATGCTCAGATGAAATGACATCCCAGCTTGTTTTCCTTACTGTGTGACCTTCAGGTGTTTCCCTCTTTTCATGCTGGAATTATTTGCCTCCCTGAAATTCTGAGAACGGATTTCTTCTGTTCACCTCGCCGGCTGACGCCCATCTGTCTCTCTGTTCTTCTGCACACTCAGCCCTGGCCATCTCCAGTCCCAGTGCGGCAAGAACGGATCTACAAAAGACACACAAACACTTGTTAGTTTTGTCTGCATGGATCTGAACTCTTCAGGAAACATAAATGAGCTTTGCACATCCAATACATGAATAATCGCATAAAGCATGTTCGGTGGAAACTAGAATGATGTATTCGTGAGTTCATTCGATGCTTGTGCCTAGTCTGGTTTCATGTTCTCTAATTATCATTACTTTGTCACTAGAAATTAAAATCCCTCTTCTTAAACGCTTTGGTTCTGAAGTCTTCAGGAAACTAGCCAAGTTGCGTAAAGGTTAGATATTTCTTACAATCAGCTGCAGTGAGAGTCTACGGCTGATAGTCAGCACTTCTGGTTGCTCACAGGAGGGAACTCGTTCTCGTCGTCCAGACACACCGGCCCCACAGCAAACTCGTGCTCAGGAATCACGTCCCCCTGTTTCGCACCGCCGTCTTCAGAGTAACCTGCAGGTTGGAGGAGACAGAGGAATCGTTAACGCTTTCTAGATCCCCAGAGCTTAGACCTCACAACCATAATGTCCAGCATATATACACTGCTCAAATAATTAAAGGGAACACTCAAATAACACATCCTAGATCTGAATGAATGA